AAATCAAATCAAATCAAAGGCTCATTCTTTGAGCCAGCAGGTGGCATGGTGGTTGAGGCACTGGACTCCCACATGGCAGACCACAGTTCAAGTCCCAGACCTGACAATTGTTTTCTCAGTTTCCTTCTCTCCCTCTTCGTGTCTCTCTCTTGTCAAATTAAAAAATAATAAATCAAGTTTAATAAATGTTTTAAATAAATAAATAAAATGTTCATTCTTTTAAAAGAAAAAAGGTCATCAAGTAAAATAAATGTCTTCATATAAAATAGTGACATTCATTATGTAACTGCCACTTCTCGGTGACAGCTACTGAGCAGGAAGAACCAAGCAGTACCGGGGGTCACACCAGTTCTCTGGTGCAGATTTAGCAGGTGCTGGAGAATACTTGGGGGAGCACCGACACTCACTCTGACCTGAGTCTGAGGTCAATGCACACCTGCAACATGCTAACTTTCCTTAAGGAGTTATTTGGAATGATCAGCCATTACTTACTTAGCCTAAGTCCCTATCTGGTAGTTGAACCAGCTGAAACGCTTTATGATCTCTCCCCCTCTGAGTGTCCTCTAGACATCATCACCTTCCTCTGCACCCCCACCCAGAGATCACAAGCAAGGTGACCCGCTCCAAACCCAGCCACTGAAAGTTTTGTCACACAGATTCGATCTCGAGGCCTCAAGCAGCCAGAGCTTTGGCATGAAATTTAATCCCGTCGTGAAATTTTGGAGTAGCAAATGTACTTTTCTGGGGAGGTTTTTGCTATAGTACGCGTGCGCTAGTCAGAAAGACAGAGAGAGACATAGAGACAGAAAGTGAGAAATCACCCCCCGGGGGGGATGCCCACACTGCAATCCCTTCTCCTCCATTCTCCTCTCCGGATCTTGGGCACACACACACACGCCCCTGGCGTGAGTTTAAGCCACCAGGTCCAGTACTCGAACCGCTGTCGATTACATGGGAGTCCAGCAACATAGCCATTACACTAACTGCTGGCCCCAGCAAATGTATTGATATATGCTTCTCATTTGAAATAATCGAAGTCAAGAGCTGAAAGTGGTGCAGAAGTAAAGCACTGCTCTGCAAGGCTGACCCACATGGGAACCTCCGGGTTCAAATTCCCAGACCTCCCTGAGCACACCAGGCACACGTGTGCCCAGGCCCCAGAGCTGGCTGAGGCTTGGGGGAGGGATGATCACAAATAAACTTTTAAAAATAACCACAGTCATATCTGATTACTAGTTTCCAACAACAGGAGACCGATTACTAGTATTGCCAAACTGAGGTGCTATTGTTTCAACCCAGTAACAAAATGCATTTTAATTAATAAGAGCTGCCTGATTCTGAAGAAATATTTGCTCTCTGCCTCCCCACCCTAAGCCATTGTTTTCTTCTGAGAGTCACAGACCCCATGGAAAATGCGAGTACAGAGAGATATTCACAGAGCAAAGCTACCACACTGCCTCAAATTGAAGGCAGTCTGGAATATTGTATAGCCACTAAAGACTTGCTGTGTTATCTTCCCTAAAGCTAATTTCTTTATCATTTAAAATTACGTCAAATTTCCAAGGACTGGAAAAACATTTCCCATGAGCAAGAAGCTGATGTATTTGCATGGGGAAATGAATAGTCCCCCTTGCTTTCCTGATGCTCCACAGGCACCAGGAAACAACATAAATGACCCTGGGGAGAGACCCCAGACAGAGCCACCACCTGTATAAGATGGCCTAAAACTAGCCCTGGGTGACAGAGAATGTAAATTCTGCAAACTATAACATGGAGTCTAAGGATGCATTAAGTTGGGGTCCACCATCTATTTAAGTGCACTTTAAAAAAACATACTGGGTATGTAAGTATGTGTGTCCAAAATGCCGAGATTGGAGAAGGGACTTCTACATGGCTACCTCCCTTGGGGGGAAGGGGGTTCTTGCTCTCTCCAGTAAGCACATGTGCCCTATAGCAACTTGAGAAAATAAATAAATACTAAAAAAAAAAAAAATTTCAAAAGCCCAGATTAAGGGACTTCATTGTATTAGGAGAGGCTAAAAGAAGACCCTACTTTCTTATGCCTCTTGTCATTATTTCATGAAAACTAGGACTATTTCTACTTTGTGTTCTAACAAGTGGTGGGCGGGGGGGTTGAGCAACATAATGACATCTTAGGATTAGAAGGAGCAATATTTGAGACCATCCCCAGAAGACAAATATCACCTGGAAGTCCCAATAAGAAAAATTCATTATCCAATCAAAGCAACAACTTTAACAACTCCCAACCACTCCAAGTAATGAGAGCCATAAGAGAAAGGAGGGGGAAGAATAAGTTCATAAAGAACATAATTTTCTTCTGCTGTCAGAGCAGTCCTGTTCTATAAAACACTCAGGCAAAGTCAGACTGGTATCTCTTAAGCCTCAGCCTTCGGGTTGGGAGACAGCCATCATTCCACTCTCTTCAGTCCTATTCATGAAGCTCAAGTGACATAGTCACTACGGACAGTGGTTCTGATACTCCACTGAGTAAAACATTATTCAAAACCCCCAAGTTAAAAGAAAGGAAAGAAAAAAAAAAAATAGCAAACAACCCCCTCCTCCAAGTTGTAAGAGCTTGAGCCACCTTCTATAAAGCCAATACTTACAGCTTTTTTTTCCCCTTTTTTTAGAGATTTTTGCTATAGGGCATGTGCACTCGCCATAGAGACAGAGACACAGAAAGCAAGAAATCACCCCCAGGAGAGATGATCATGCAGCAATACCTTCTCCTCCATTTTCCTCTCAGGATCTTAGGCATGCATGCACACACGCCTAATGTGAGTTTAAAGCTGCCGGGTCCAGGACTCGAACCGGTCGACTACGTGGGAGTCCAGCAATGCAACCATTATGCCATCTGCTGGCCCCAGCACTTATAACTTTCTAGGTACCAGGCATTGTGCTAGGCACGTACACAAACAATCTCATTTGGTCCTGCAAGATATGTGCTATTTGCCTTATTTTACCCATGAGGAAGGTAAGAGTTCATTTGTCTGAGCTCACAGAGCTTGTCCATATCAAGCAGGGACTTGAATCCTAGTGGTCTGTCACCACAGCCAGCGCTGGTTTTTTTTTTGTTTGTTTGCCAGAGGGTACATGCACCTGGCAGAGAGAGAGAGACAAAGTGTAAGAAAGCACCCTCAACAGGGCATGGTCACACCATAATCCCTTTTTCTCCATTTCTCCATCCAGTTGGAATTAGGGGCAAGCATACATATGTACCCATCATGTCCCTCAAGTTGCTGGGGCCGAGATTTGAAACATGAAGTTGGCCATGTGGAATCTGGCTCCCCTAACCACCAATCCACAGAGCTGGCCTGTACTCAGCATCCCTAACCGTTGTTCTTGCCCGTGATATGATTATCAGGCTGCACATGGACTTCACTGAATCCCCCAGATACATAGACCAGCCCAAGTCTGCTGAACATGGAGAGGCATCTACCACGAAGGGAGACTTAGTTCCCTTCTCTCTGAAGATGTAGACTGAAAGCTATAGAATGGCGCTAGTAAGTCCATGAAAACAGTCAAAATTCCACATGTTCAGGGATCCAGTGTTAAACGTTACCACCATTTTATGTTGTGGAACAGCCTCCTGGTTTCCCGAAATGCTCCCAACAAAAAATAAAAGAGGCTGATCAAATTGTTTCAAAAATATTCTCTGAGGAGTATATGGTCTGTAATCTCAGGTGAACTTTGAGACTTCAGAGCACTTTGCAAAAGGGAAGAACTAGAAGGGCAGTGGTATGGTGGTTAAGGGCGCTGGACTCCCACATGGCCAACCACAGTTCAAGTCCTGGACCTGGCGGCTTGCTTTGTCATTTTCCCTCTCTCTCTCCCTCTTTCTATTTCTCACCCTGTCCCTCTCTGGTTAAATTAAAATAAATAAATAAGTTGGGACCGGCAGGTAGCATGGTAATTGGAGCACTGGACTCCAACATGGCTGACTGCAGTTCGAGTCCCAGATCTGCCAGCTTGCTTTCTCACTTTCTCTCTCTCTCTTTCTCTCTCTTTGTCCCTCTCCCAAATTAAAATAAATAGGTAAATAAAGTTAAATTTTAAAAATGTCCTGCCTTTAAAAAATAAAGTTAAATAAAATATTTTTTTAAAAGAGAGGGAGGAACTAAAAAAGAAACTGGCCTGGGGCTGGTGGGCACCAAGGCCTAGTGGTTAAGAAAGGTAAAGATAATTTCACACAGCTGACAGTGGTTCAAGTCCCAGCCGTCCCAGTCATGATGACCTGAAAACACACCAGGTATACATGCGATAAATCCCGGCAGGGTAGGAGAAGGGACTGCAGTGTGACCATGCTCCGTTAGGACATGCTTTGTCCCTCTCCCCCTCTGTCTTTCTCCTCTGGTAAGCACATGTGCCCTCTGGCAATTAAAATAAATACATAAATTAAGGAAACTCATCTATTCTTGAACCATAGCATCTACTTCACTCACAAGAAAAATTCTGGACTTTGTAAAATGTCTTCAAGCACTGATCCTAAACAGAATGCTTTTAATCTTGGACAATGGCACGTAATACTGGATCCTTTTCACTTGTAAAAACCATCCGCAGGCTAACTGGTAGTATGGTGCTTCAAGTGGCTGCATCCCACATGGCCAACTGTGCAGGTTCAAGTCTAGGAATAGGTACATGTATACCCAAATCCCTGAAGGAGAAATGGAGGACCAGAGATTGCAGCATAGCCATCCGGCCTGGGGGTGCTTTCTCACATTCCCTCTCTCTCCCTCTCCCCAGAGAGTACATATGCACTCTGACAACTGAAAAAAAAAAAAAAAAAAGAAAAGTTCACAATGCAAATGGAAAGTGATAACCCCACATGACAACTTCAGATAAAACCAAGGTATAAAACAGCTCCAGAAGGACAACTCTTTGAAAGCAAGGTTTTAAGGCAAAATCACATGTATGTTTTTTATACGAGCATCTATAACCATACAGCACCAAAATGAAGCTCAACGGGAAGGAACTCACTGTACAGAAGACAAAACAATACCCTTTTTATTTTTTTTTAAAACTCTGTTGAAATAGGTTTCCATATGACATCCCATTAAAAAAAATAATAATGTAAACCAACCAGCCCGTGGGTCAGTCACACTATACAGACTCCATCAGAGTGTTTACAGATGCCTAAAGTATTTACAAATGCTATCCGTTAGGTAGTAAAGTTTTGTTGCAATTTTTCCAGCACATATTCCACAGTAAAACGAAGGGGGTATACTGGTGCTCTTGTATAAAAATTCTTAACAAATGGAGAAAGGCAATTTTCCTGAGAGAAGATTTGTTCTTGAAATATCTTTCTTTAACAATTGGGAATATAGAAATGGGATGCAGTTGTAAAAGAAGCATAAGAATGTCTAAGTTAACATTTTTTCTTTTTAAATTATTTTAAGTACCATTAAGTTAAAATGTTTACATTCATTATAAAAAATGCTGTTAAATCTTATGCAAATGATTTAACACTGATTGCTGCAACGCAAATTGCACTTTTTTAAAAAAATTATTGTATACATGGAAGAAAAATATCTTGTTTGCTACCCTGTTTACAAATTCCGACTGACTTCAGGTCAGTCACACAACATGGAGTTTGAGCAACGCCAGTCACAGTGTACGTTAAAGTTACAATGCAGTCTTGCAAACTGAGTAATATTTTTGACAAAAGACTTCATGAACAGACTTAGCCTCCAGAGACATGTACCCAATGGCCTCGAGTGATCTTCTCCATGAACGCATGTGAAATCTAGATATGGAAAAGGTATGCAGAAATTCTGGAATAACCATGATCAATCAGAAGCACATGATTTGGGGCAATACACATAAAATCGTTTGTCTTAAATCTCTCTCAAGATTCCTTAGCAGGCAAGGCCACGGTCCCAGTCCTTGTTTCTGGACACAGCACAGTGGCTGACCCAGAAGCAGGCTGGCTGGAGGTGACCCGCAGAGGGAGGAGGCGACTTGCTGGCCACACAGGCCCTGCCCCCAGGAGCTCCATCTTCTCTTACTCTTCAGCAAGCCTCTTGGGAAATACATCTCTTTCAAAATAAAGGCACGGAAATCACGCGTCGGAGGAATGTTCTGTCAGCACAGTCTCACTGTCTGGACTGCTGGACAAAATCAGACACAAGTGGTGCGAGGTTGGTGGTGGGGCCCTCCCGCCTCCTGGCAGCATGGGCTCAAGCCAAGGCCAGAGCGCACCAGGAATCCTGTCGCACAGAGGACGTGACTTCAGACGGCGAGGCCAGACTGACGCCTATGTAGAGCCCATCTTGTCCTGAATACTTGAGCTCACTGTTCTCCGGGTTGGTGCTTTCTCCTGCGCCAGACATCACCGGGGCACCCGCCTGCCAGAGAGGGGGACAGAGAGGAGAGAAGAGAAAGGGAGGGATGATTAGCATCTGTTCATTAAACACACGAGAACCAAGGAAATGATCGATGCAGTGGGGGCCAGAGCTGCTCCCGGAGTACCCTACAGGAAAGAAATAAGGATGGGCCAGGAGACGGCAACTGGACCCACTGGAGAAAGGTCATCGGCATTGTTCTGAGATCTCCCTCAGCAGACCTGGTGCCTGTGTGCCTATGACCCACTGGCTGAGGCCGGGGCTATGAGGACCCTATAAGGGTCTCTCAGCAAAGTCAAAAAAAAAGGAGAAAGAGAAGAAACAAACTCGACAGTCCTATTCCCACCCCGAGCAGGCAGGACCTTCCTTTCTGTGTCACATAGCACCACTGACCTGACCTGGTCACTTAAACTCTTAGAACCACAATGGTGTCACTTTAGACTCATGGCAGTCACCTCCTGGCAAAAGGCAGGACTGGACAAAAGGAAGGGGAACTGGAGGAATCCTCTTCGTAAAAAGTGCTGAACTCTACGACCTCCGACAGTGAGGCAAACCATACCATGGAGGTAAACAGGCCTCAGTGATGCACGCACACTAATTGTTTCAAAAGAGAAAACGCAGAGCACAGTGCACACACACAGATGTGTGCACATTTACACGCAGTGTAGCTGCAAGACTTAGCAGTTATGTCAAAGACCGAAATGGAAGAGGCTGCATAATTTAACATTCTCTGATAAATGAAATTTTTGAGCACTGACTTCATGGAAACTAAACCCAGGCATACACAGGTTTAATATCTACCTCATCTACTTTAATTCTTTACAAGAGCAGACCAGGTTTGAAGCAGACCATATTATAAAGAAAATGATAGCATTCTCTATCAATCATGATCATGACAATTATGTCTTGAAGTAAAAGTTCATCTTTTCCTGGTTTCATTCATTCCTCCCCCCTGAAGGAGAATGGCCAAAGAGAACACATTATAACAGAGTAGAATCAAACCAAAATAACTAAAATCTGTTTAGACTACAGTTTGAGAAAACAACTGCATTTGAAAGACTTCTTAAAAGCCTAGCCATAATCATATTATTTAATCATGAAAAGCTCAGAAAGAAATCTCTTCTTTCTTCCAAGCTTTCAGGGTTCCATTTCATAAATTTTTACATACTTGTTACTTGACAGGGGCAGAAACGCTGTGTACTTTTAAAGGAACATTTTCACATGCACGATCCCACTAAATCCCTAAACCAGCTATTTATCCATCTGTGTGGATGTGTGACATCTCCTTCAGAGAAGCACAGGACCGCAGACGTCGGCTTAGCTGACTGGAAGATGGGCTGGGCCCACCGTCTGGAAGTAAATGTGGTCCTCTTCCACTCCTTTTCCAAACAAGATCTGGTTGCTCTCTGACCTCACACCAACTGCTTAAAGCTGGGAGGCAGAATTTAAGGAGAGTTAAGACCCTCAGGTCTACTCATGACCATCCAAACTTTCTCCCAGTCAGACCAAATCCAAGCCACCCACAGAACCAGTCCTTCCCTTTTCAAGTAAAAATGAGGGTTTGTTAAAATCCTCTAACCTCACAGTAGTTTTGGTTTTGTTTTTTTGTTTTTTGTTTTTTGTGTTTTTTTTTTTTTTTTTTTTTAAATAACACACACATGGGGACCAGCAATTGGCGTAATGGCTGTGTTGCTAGACTCCCATGTAGTTGATCACGGTTCGAGTCCCAGACCCGGTGACTTAAACTCACGCCAGGCACGTGTGCATGTGTGCCCAAGATCCTGAGAGGAGAATGGAGGAGAAGGCATTGCAGCGCGGCCAACCCCCTTGGGGAGGAATTTCTTACTTTCTATCTCTCTGTCTCTCTCATGAACGCACACACCCTGTAACAAAAAAACCTCTCCAAAAAAAGAAAAAAAGAAAAAATAACACAAACATGAAGACTTAATCTGACAGACTTGCATATATAAAAAAGCAAATTTCATAAAGTCATCAAGATGTCTAAAACTTAAAATGGATTCTTGTAAAACATTTGAAATAGCTGTAATAATCCTGTCAAGCACACTCAATGCTACATGTCTGGTTAGACTTATAAATATGATGATTAACTTTGGCCCTTAAATTCCAGAACCTCTACTATAAGCAAATGCAACATGGATCCAAATTTAACCCCCAAGGAAATAAATGAAAGGATGACATAGTGATATTCAATTACAAAAGAATTGTTGGGACTGGAAGGCGGCATGATGGTTAAGGCACTGGAATCGCACGTGGCAAACTATGGTTCGAGTCCCAGATCTGGAGGCTTGCTTTCTCACTCTCCCTCTCCTTCTCTTGGGTCAAATTGAAGAATAATTAATTAATTAAGTTTAAAACAAAAGAATTGGTTCAGAAAGGACCTATCACAGGATGAGAAGGTGAGCTCCCTTATCATGATTTCTGTCAGACTCAACTTTACACTGATCTACCTATTCCCAAAAGGGCATATCTACATGTACCTTCACCACAGCAAGTGCTATTTTTTCTTTCTCTCTCTCTTTTTAAACTGTTAGTTTAAAAAAATAAAAAAAGAAAAGAAGAGAAAAGAAAAGAAAAAGAAAAGAAATATAGTATTTCCTCCATGAGTGAATCACACAGAGAGTGAAGAGAGAAAAGAGAAAACCAACCCCAAGAGGGTGTTGGTGTGTGACCCACCCCCGGCTCCAACCAGCCCCACTCATGGTCAAATATGTACCCAACATCTTTAAGGAAGTCTCTGGAGATGAATTCAGAATCTCCCCACATGGATTGGCTTCACAGCTCAACCACTGTGCCACTGTACAGCCCACGTGCCGTTTACTGAAATGGAAAGGGTACCTGGATTGACCCAAACAAACCCTCATGTGAGCCCACTTCAAGTGGCCAGGCAGTGCTGAGACAGCAGAGGGTCCATCCCCACCACAGTCACCACCACCAAGGATGAGCAAAGCACCAGCCGAGAGCCAGACACTGAGAGTGGGAGCCTGAGAGAGTTGCTACCCTGGAGGAGCTTCTAGGTCACAACGGGAACCAGGACATATGTGCTAGAAAGTAAGACTGTTCAGCCACCTGTTGTGAACAACAGACAAGTAGCTGAAATGGGGACTGAGCAAGAGCTAAAAAGGAATTGCAGACCAGAGATGACCCCTGAGCAGGCGTCCAAAGATAGCCTGCATGGTGGGACCAAGTTTGGGCTCCAAAGTCATATCCTGGTTTGGTCACTTGCTGAATCCAGTCACCTCCTTGAGCTTCCTCCCTCATATCTGGTCCTCATATTCCCACTGTAGTTATGGCTATGTCAATTAAATAAGATAATGCTGTAAAGGCATCAGCAAGTTGCCCTGCCACGTCAAAGGGAAGACAAGCGTTCAAAATGAGAAGCATGCAGGACACGGGGAGGCAGGGATCTGGCCTGCTCAGAAAAGCCAGCTGCAACAGAAATATTGAGCAAGCAGAGGCATGAAAAGCATTCACGTGGGAGAGGTCATCTAGAAGGCTTGAACCAAAACTTTCTGTGCCTCAGTTTCCTCATTTATAAAATGGAAATAAAAACAGGCATATATGTCTTAAAGTTGTTGCCATAATTAAAGTAGTTAATACATTGAAGTCCTTGTAACAGTATCTGACAATAGTAAAGGCTACATAAATAAGGGCTATTATTATTATAGGTTTTGGCCTTTTTTTTTTTTTTTTTTAGGGTCTTGACAGAGAGCATGCACACTCACTAGAGAAAGCAACAGAGAGGGACAAAGAGAAAATCTTTCCCAGGAGGAGGACTATGCCTTAATCCCTTCTCTTCCATTCTCTTCTTGAGATTCTGAGCAGGCATATATATATGCTCTTGGTTTCAAGCCTCCAGGTCCAGGACTCAAACCACTGTTCACCATTGGGAGTCCAGTTCCTTAACCACCATGCCACCTGCAGGCCCCTATTATCTTTCTTTCTTTCTTTCTTTTTTTTTTTTTTTTTTGGTG